GAATGACTGCATTGCACAGAAGAGCCTAAAGAAAGGTAAGATGCCAGTACACTTCCAACAAAAGCCTGCAGGAGGAAAACAAAAGATGTCCATGTTTCTTGGACTGACTGCAAGTTGCCAGCAGCCCTCAATTAATAATATTTGCCATAACCCATATAATTCTATGTGCATGATTTTCTATCTTCCTCAATACCATCCAGTATTATATACCAGCAGAAGATTAGAGGACACTAAATGTAGAAACCAACACAAACACAACACAAACTCTTCCATAATGCCGCTGATTTCTCCTAATTATCTAGAACAGCAGAAGTTACATCAGTAGCTCTGGTTCAAGTATCTAAGCAGCTGTTGTCCCCATCAGTGCCCAAGAGGCAGCATGTGCCCAAGCATACACGGCTACTGTACAAACTATTCCATGGGAGAAAGGTAGAACTGAGATGACATCCTGCTTAGCGTGTGTTGGGGGTAAAACTGATGAGCAGAGACTATGCCTGAACAGGCTACTGTACAGCACTAGGTACACAAATGCCAATATTACAGCCTTTGGAAGCTACAATGATGCTAACTGAAGGATTCTGATAGTCTTGAAAGGGTTAAAGAACCTGTACAGTAAAGTTCATAAACCTTTTAAATAACAAAGTAACATATTACACATTGTATTTTTTAGAGACCCAAACATATAGTTTTGCACAACAGCAAACACCAGTAAGTAGCCCCATCTCAGACAAACTTAAAAAACCCAAACAAACCCAACCAAAGTCCTCTTGTGCTACCGACACTCAGTATGGCTGGCTAGAGCACTGACATCACCTGAGTGTTTCAAACCAGTACTGCAGCTACTCTGCTAAGATCACTGAACACTTGCTTCTGCATCCCACCTATGTGATGAGTCCCTGCTATCCCTACAAGATTATTCTGTTAATAGCTGATGGTGAGAAAGGGGCAGAGAAAGAAGTTATGGTAAAGCAAATCCCAAAAGATTTAGGAAACATGGACAAAAATTAAGTATTTAAGCATGACGACAAACTTACAGAGTACAAATACCCTCTGAATCAAGAGCAATTTGAAAAATATGTTGGTAGCAATCTTGTCACTAAAAACTGTCATTTAAACACAAAACTTAACAATCTCTGTAGATTTTACTTAGCTTGGACTAATAAATCTGTATTATAACCATTGATTGAAATAACTTTCTTCTGATAGCAATCCAGAGCAAGAAAACAACTTTCATCATTGACATATCCAGTCCAAAAGATACTTCACGTGAAGGGATGAGAAACCTTCAGTGGACCCTGTCCATAAAGGACAGTCACTGATCTCCTCTACTGCAACTGTTGATGTTCTCATAAATACACACATATAATCAAACTCTTTGTGCGTGTGTGTGTCTTACTGAACTCTAGTGGCACTGAGTTTCACACAACACATATAGAATTCATAACTTCTAGAAGTTCATGGAAAAGTTTTCAGTTGTCAAAATCATTTAAGTATAAATAAGTGGCATTGAAATCATAGAACCATTTAGGCTAGAAAATATACTTAAGATCAAGTCCAACCATTAAACTGACATCACCATGTTCACTACTAAATGATGTCCCTATGTTTCACAGCTACACATCTTCTAATTACTTTCAGGGATGACACTTTCCTGGGAATCATGTTTCTATGCTTGACAACCCTTCCAGTGAAAAAAATTTCCAAACAAATCCAATCTAAACCTCCCCTGGTGCAACTTGAGGCCATCTTGTCCTGTCACTTGTAACCTGGGAGAAGAGGCCAACTCCTATCCAGCTACACCCTCCTTTCAGACAGTTGTAGAGAGTGATGAGGTCCCCCCTGACTCTCCTTTTCTCCAGGCTTAACACCCCCAGCTCCCTCAGCTGCTCCTCACAGGAATTATGCTCCAGACCCTTCCCCAGCTCCGTTGCCCCTCTCTGGACACGCTCCAGCCCCTCAATGTCTTTCTTGCAGTGAGGGGCCCAGAACTGAACACAGGGTTGGAGGAGGGGGACGGTCACTGCCCCGCTCCCCCTGGCCGCACCAGAGCTGACCCAGGCCAGGATGCCATCGGCCTTCTTGGTCACTTGGGTACACACTGGATTGTATTCAATCCAGCCAACCACAGCAGCAATGAATGCTGCCTGGAATCCAGCTGTAAAAGTATGCTATCAAAATCAATATAGTGAAAGTCCTAACTGAATAAGCCATAACATACAACTGCATTCCAGCAGTCTCAAACTTCTTCCTTCTACCAAAAATTTCTCTTAGAAGTACAAAACGCTATCTGACAAACTTGCAAATCTTGTTATAAAATAAAGAATGTAAATAGTAGCACCTATATTGAGCATATTGTTCATACATCAAGTTGGCATGTACTGCCAGCCACATCTGCCAGCAGCACATAGGGCAAGCTATAAATATGGAATACAAGCTAAGCTTCGTCTGAACTTTAATGTGTATGCAAGCAACCCAGTTAGCCACAAAGAGCCTTCAACCACTAAGATTAAATCACTGAAACAAAGTTAAGAAGTTGAAAACACTTCCAGCTGTGGAGCTGAACATAATTTCAGTGGACACAAAACTCCACTGCAACACAGGGGGCTTTTAAGGCCCTCATGAGGCAAGTATTACCTCAAACTTCTCACACTGGACACCTGAGTAGTCTTTTGAACTCCTGTGAGCTTCAAATTCCAATCCCTTTCCATAAATTGGTTGAGTTCATTGTTAACTGTGATGGAAAAATAAATAGTTCTCCATTAACAGTGAATTTTCCATTAGCAACAGTTCTTGATACAAGTTCTTAACAGACTCCCCACACTGCTTTTATTGCAGGGTACATCAATTAAATGCAAACTCAAACAATGTCACAGAACTTCAGTAACTCTGTACTTAGTCCTCAAAATCAAAATGAAAACTTCTCAAACACAAGACAATTCACGATTCTGCAGGACCAAAAACACCAAAAGCCAAACCAAACAACCCTAGTAAAAATCTGAAAGACATTGTACCAGCTTTGTACCATACCCCTCTGTACATACTTGAACAAGCTCTATAAAAGACAAAGAAACTTGCTTTCATTTTTTCATTGCCACTTTGACATCCTTGCTGAAGCAAATCCCTATTAGCATGTTATTACAGGATAAGCAACAGGAGAATGCAATCATATATTTGAGGTCGAAGAGGATTAATAACAATAATATAAAGCCAATTTAGTAGATAATAAAATGAATTTATTGCTCTAATTAAGACAGACTTCTATTAAAATAAGTTACTTAGTTTAACCACCAAATAACATGGCTGATGAGTTTGGTTCCTAGAGATGACCTTGCAGCACTAAGCACCAAATACCCCGAACAGCATGGTCCTATCACATGCCATAAGAAGGCTGTACCACCACCATCACAGCTGGAGGAGGACAATGTGCCACCTACCACCTGCAGTACACAACAGTCCCCCTTCTTCCAAAGCATCATTTGCCTTGACATTTCCTCAAAGTAACTTTCTTTGACATGAAGGATAATCCGAAAAAACAGAACAGCTATTAGACTGGAATGCATAACAAATGAATCAGAAGTAAAATTAGATGGTAGCCTTGCATCCAAGATATGGTAAGAATTAACAAATTACTATTAAAAATTTTAAACTGCTGTAGCAAGTCAAGGGTTGGAACAGATGACTTTATTAAAGATAAAATGTCATGTAAACTCTTACAAGTCTTTGATGCAGTTCATAATTTTAGACGTGCAGAACAAATACAGTTCTGATGTCCTCATCCTAAGCAGTGAGGCTTTGCAGCGAACGACTTATTTGTATATGTAAGCCACCAAAAAGCAACAAAGAAAGTTGCAAGCTCTGCGAATCTGGAAAATGTAAAACAGCAAGGGACAGAAACGGGGGGGAGGGGGGGGGGTGGAAATCCAAGATACGAGTGGTGGGGAAGACCGCAACACCTGAATCCGTGCTGTAACCAAGCGAGGGACCCATAAGGCAAGAGAGGCGCTGCCTTTTTGTTTTGTTCTCGGGCTGCACGCTCCCAGCGGAGCCGCCGCGCTGCCCGCCGGCGCCTCTGGCGGCGCAGCCCGCGCACCGCGCCCGGGCCCACCGCGGCAGCTCCCGAGCCTCACTCGCTCCTTCGCTGCGCTACTTGGCCATTTCGGAATCCCCCACGCAGCTAAAAAACAGCCCCAGTATTAACAAGGGTAGAAACTAGAGTCAAGTTACATCCCAGTCCTACCCACAGGGATTGGCAGGCAACAAGCCTCTCCTCAGCCAACCTAACACCCAACAGAGATCAAAATCTGCTCTCCAAATTCCACATAGACAAAACACCAAAAATGCTCGCTATTGGGAACCTGTGGGTTTCACCAGTGTCCTCCAGCTTCCTAGGGAAGGGACCAAGTGGATGGCTAAGAAGCCCAGCCAAGGAACCCAACAAGACCATCCAAATAAATCTGTGGGTGTAGAGAACCAGTCTGTGAACCAGTCACAAAGAGACCATGGAGCGTGCTTCTCCATTACAAACTGCTGGGTGATTTTAAACCTCCCATGCCTCTTCTTAGCTTCGAGATGATACGCGGGACACGTGATTCGAGCAACGGAGGGGGGGAGAAAAATTCAAGATGGCTGAAGGTGTCTTGTCACGGATGTTCACACACGCTACACAACTCTAGAGGGCACCCGAAATATGCCCTCCTCCTCCTCCCTCCCGAGCCGGGTAACGTGAGCAGCGGCAGCAGCCCGTCGTCTGCCTGCCGGAGTTGGTATTGCAGGAGCGATGTCTGCAGCAGCAGCGCCCACTCCGAGGAGGAGCCGCCTCACAGCCATTACTGGGGCTTCGCCCCAGGGCAGCGGCTACTGAACGCAGGAATTTCCCCACCCAGCCCTAGAGGGACCTCATTCCACCCCTGCCCCAGGAGAATACGGGGCGCGGGGAATGGTTCAAGCCCGCTGTTAGGAGGTCTAGCAAAGGCAGAAACAGATACACAAATAGCACTCACAATGGAGCTCCCTCTCCTTGTTGGTCGCTGCCAAGGCTGCACCAAACTGGGCTGGAGCCTAAGGGAAAGACATGGGGTTAACACGGGGCAGCGAGGATCAGGCAGCGCCCCCAAGGAGCGTTTCCATCGCTTGGCCAGGGCAGGTACTGCCTGCATCACTCACCACTTCCGTTTAATCCCAATCTTTCAAATAAATAAATAAATAAACAAATCCACTGCCCTCGCCGGGGGCGGTGGGGTACACCTCATGGCACACCCACGCAGCTTGTCCCCGCTGAAGGAAGGAGGGACATGGAGCCCTCCCCGAGCGCCGCCACACCGGAGGGCTTCTACCGCGAGTGTGGGGGACAGAGGCAGCGGTGGCACCCACGGCGGGGAGCAGCGAGTGTTACCTGCGAACTTGCCCTATAAGCCCTGAGCCGGCGCCCGGAGCGGCCGCGGGGCCCTCGGCGGCACGGCCCCGGCGCCGGGCGAGCGCCCGCCCGCCCCGCACGCTCGCGCGGCAGTTGCCCCTGGTCTCGGGTTTGCCCCCCTGCAGTCGGCCAGCGGCACTACCGCCTCCTGTCCGCCATTAGAGGGACCCAGCCGAACAATACGGGAGGGGAGCCGCGGAGCGCCGGGCAGGGGAGGGGAGAGGATGGGAGGGAGGTACCCGCGGGGGGGCTGCGAGGGCGGTGGGTGGGGGAGGCACAGGGGCAGAACAACAGCCGAGGGCCCGGCGGGGAAGGGAGGGAGAGAGTTAAAATAGGAGGCGCTAGAGCAGACCCGGCCCTTCCCCCAAATACCCCTGCCCCCCCTTCGGGGTTGCCCCCGGGCGCCCCCCATTTTTCCCCACCGCCCTCCGCCGCGGCGCGATGGTTATGCGCGGGATTGCCCCCGGCGCCGCCCGCACCCCCGCCGCCAGAGGTGGCGGCGCGGCAGCGACACCGCGGGGTACTTGGCCGGGTAGCTGTGAGGCACGGCGGCTGCCCTCCCATCCCCGCCCTGGGGGCAGCTAAGCGCCGCCAGCCCGCCCCGGTGAGGCGCAGCGCCCCGTGCCCGCGCCTTACCCGGCTTCCCACCGCCTGCGGGCACGAACCCCCCCGCGGGGGACGCACGCACTCTGCGCTACTCCTCCGGCGCCTCAACTCTAACTCGGTCCAGTCCCGGGCGAAGCGCAGCTGCTGGCGAAGAGGAGGAGGAACCGGGCCAAGGGAGCTCGGGGAGATCCGCCTCCCTGCCCCGGCATTGGCTTTCCCAGAGGGCGGGCTCTGGCGCTGGGCTAGCCGAGTGGGTGCGCCGCCCATCCATCAGAGCCGCCCGCAGCCGGTTGACCCTATAAACTGCCAATCTTCCTCCTGGCCATGCTTGGGGTTCTTCCCACTTTGATCCATCAGGTTTGAGGAACCCGGATCGTTGCCCACTGACCGGCTCGTTACTCGTGCCCAAGGGTTGCGCTGGCGCTCCCCGCGCCGCTGTTTGACAGCGGCAACTTGCAGAAGTTGTCGGTGCCGCCGAGCCGGCTGCGCCCCGCCGGCCGTGCGCAGGGTGCGCTGGCCGTCCCGGCCGTGCGCTCGCTCCCTGCGGGCGCCACCGCTCCGGCCATGGGGCGCGGGTTCGCCTCTCCCACTCTGGGCCCCGCCGCCGAGCCATAGGGGCTGGCAGTGCTTCTCCAAAGGGCCCCACTCCTCTCCTTCCTTCCCCTCACCAGGGTTTTGAACCTGGGGTCATTCCCATGGTGGACAGAGCATGGGTAATGGAAGCGTTCCCAGAGGGAAAAGGGAGAGTTCGCGTCTCCTAGGGAGGGCGCCTGACCCGCGTCCCCGCAGCCTGCCCCGCTGAGCAGCGCCTCAGCCGAGGACGCCTTGCTGCCCCCGCCTGCCGCGGGGGAGGGCGCCATATCAGCCGCCGACATGGCTCCTGGAGGAGATGGTGGTGGTGGTGGTGTTGGTGGTGGCAGTGGTGGTGGCGTCCTCCATTTTGTCGGAAGCCGCTGCGGGGAGCTTGGTACCAATTCGAACCAACGTGAGGCGCAGCGGGGCGTCCATTTGAACAGCCTCCGTACGGCTTCCCCGCGGGAAAAGGAGCCGGGTGCCCCCGGCAATGCCGCGGGGTGGGAACGACTGCTCCGGCCAGGCGCCGGGAGCCAACTCTCCGCCCGCCCTTCGCCAAAATGGAGGATGCGCGCTTCCCTTGCGCGGCTCCTTCCCCGTCGCTGGCCATGGCACCAGCGCCCGCTCCTTCGAGGACTGGGGAGCGCAGCCGTCCGTCTGGCGCGCTGGTCCCGCTCTGCTCCATCTACCCATCCTCCTCTGCCCAGAAGAGGGAGAGAGAGAGCGCAATGCCCGCCCTGCCTCCCCTAGCCGGGATCAATCCGTGTCAACTAGCGCAGCAGCGTCCCCCGGGGAGAGAGCGGCTCTTGTGTGCGCAAGGCGCTGGGTTTCAGCGGCTGGCGCCATTTCCAGTCGGGAGCTGGAGCCTCCCGCGGGCTCAGCCTGAGGGACAGCCTCCCCCACGGGTGGCGCAGGAGCCATTGAAGGGATGTCTCCTCTCTCCATCGCCTTTGATGTGTTTGGCTAATAATTTTCATGTGTGGGAGAGACGAGAAAATTTTCTATCATCCATTGTCACAACAATACATCTAATTTCTTCCCAATGATGCCACCCAGAGACACTAGCTCCAATCAACAACTCAAACCAAAAGCTTATCCAGCACTGTTACTCTATGTTGTTGAGTGGAATTAATGTGGGTTTGGTTTTACTTGTTTTGGGGTATTTTTTGCAAGACATACTGCTCATTAGATGAAGCTTGGAAGGGCTATTTGTTGTGGAGGGACAGAGTTCCCTCCGGGCTGGCAGCATCTTGCCTGCAAAAAATTACGTGAGCTGATGGCAAAGCAGCTCTAATACAACCATTGCCAAGGAGGAAAGTGTCATGTCTGCATGCATCATCACCCATTTTGAAGGCATCAAAGTTGCCCTATAAATTGATAAATCATTTGATCTGCAGTATCACACTACCAGACTAATTATGTAACCAGAAAGCTGTAGAAATTTCAACATTGAATCCCATTCACTCCATCAAGTCAGCTTGTTCCTGACCATCTTCATCATTAGCCTGGAATATCATCTAGGTTGGTAAAATTCAAAACTGTTTTAAGTTGTCCTCCATATTACAAATTTGCCAACATTCCTAGTCATACATCTCAGGAAGATGCCTTTTGTTCTACAACAGTGCTTATCCATAAGCATTTATGTTCTCATGGTGTTCAGAAAGAAATTCAAGAGGACTGAAGCACTAGCAATGGATGGTAGAAAACAAGTAATTAAGAACACGTTAAGAGAAACCTATCGCTCTTAGTAATCTGGGGTACTAAAAGTAACTGGAGAATACTTTGCATCTTACCGCTGCTATAGCAAGAGACATTACCTAACAGTGTTATCTAGGACTGTTACGTAGCAATAGAACATTTTCATTAATGTTTTAGGTAACACAGCTCAAACAAAATTTAATGGTTTCTCTTGCACTTTTGGAACTATATGAAATGGTTTTATATAATAAAGTTTATAACTCCACAGAACTGTTGTCCCCTTATAGACATGTAACCTTAGTTTTAAATTCATATGTTGAAATATAGCCAAAAATAATTAAATACACCATAATTTTTCCTTTATTTTTTCAACTGACATCAGGAAAAGGGACAAAAAGTTCGGGCAACCATGGAAATTCCTCTTCCTCTGTAGAACCATGTATCATTCAGATTACTTTTAAGAATAATTCATATAGAATAATTCTTTTTATGGTTTGAAAGAGTCAGCATTAGCTCATATGCTAAGCAGTAAAATCTCTTCATGAGCACCAGAGAACTGAAGCATATGTATTTATATGGACACTTCTTTCATGGACAGGCCTGATGTCAGTAACCTTACTACAAAATGTCAAATATATTGACTGGGAGTAGATAAATTCAACAAAGCTGAGCCAAGAGTTTGTTTATCACCTTATAACAAGAGTGACATCCTTCTGGCTGTCATGGAGGACTATTTTCTTAAAAACCAGTTAACTGTATTTGAACTGAGAAGGAATAATCGGATATATTTTGGAAAGTTTGTGTTTGAGCAGACATCTTAAAAGGACTTACCAAGGCAACCTTCAAGTGATGCATATTGTATTGTAATAACAGGATGGACATAGTTTAAAGCTACCTCCTGCTGTCAGCGTTATTTATCTATGATATAGTGGCATTTGTTCCAGGCTTAGAACAACTTTTCTTTTTTCCCCTACCATTTATCCCAATATTTCTCTTACTTTTCTGTCCTTAATCTCACTTCTTTATCTCCTTATCCTCAGTCCCTCTTGGCCATCACAAAGAAGAAAGATGTGAAAAAAGTGTATAGGTTGATGGAACATACGTTCTCATAGTCATGGCATAATGGAATTGTGGTCTACTAATGTTTGGTCAATACTAAGAAGAGAAACTTCAAGAAATAGTAGTGGATGGAAAAGAAATTAAAAACACAAAATCAAAACAAAAGAAAGCAGAATCTTAAAACATCTATGATCAGTAACAGCTTCATCATTTTAGTTTTACTTCCTCTACCGGTGTTCTGATTTTTGAGTTTCATCAGGCATAGCAGCTATTCTTTGTAGTCTAAAGCTCTTAATAAAAAGATACTTAGGAAGAAACTCTCCACTATGAGGATTCTGAGGTTCTGGAACAAGTTGCCCAGAGAGGCTGTGGATGCCCCATCTCCAGCCATGTTCAAGGCCAGGTTCAATGGAGCTTTGAGCAACCTGGTCTAGTGGAAGGTGTCCCTGCCCATGCTACAGGGGTTGGAACCAGATGGTCTTCATGTCCCCTCCCAACCCAAATCAATCTATGATTCCATTATACCATATATGTGTGTTTTTACTCTACGTAACAGAACCCATAGAATTTTTTTAGATTACGAAAAAATGCTTTGTACAGAATATTACCTGTGGTTTTCATTATGGTTGCTGGACTACATATACATGTTGTAATATTTATAAATAAATCACTACCTGTCTATAAGCAGATTGTGTAATTTGCAGTTTAATTAACCAAAAGTGATCTTTCCAATGGTTAAATAAGGAGACAATATATCCTATCCTATAAGATTATTATTAATTGCATAATATAATATGTCTTCAAATGACCTTTATGCTGCATCCCATATGTAAGCTTTGGAACAGTAAATAATTTATGATCTGATCTGGGCAACTTCCCCAAAGAAGACATTCCCATACTGAAAGAATAAGATTGTAACTGTTCTTCTGTAATAATTTTAAGGGGGTTTACAATAATCAACATAATCTTTACTTGCAAAGTAATTTTTATTAATTTTTAAACATTTGAGGGTTTTAGTTGGATTGATCTCTCATCTTAATGGAGAAATGGTATTACAAAACAGAAGGTAGGCTCTTAAAACTGAAAGAGACTGCTTAGGTCACTGAGTCCACTATCTTGCTATTAGAGGAAACTGTCATATAATCCCTTGCAGAAACTTTTCAAGCCCCATCTTAATAGTAGCCTGATATGTTTACCCCCTACTTCTGTCACAAATCTATTCCAGAACTTCATTGTTTTGGTTAGAAACTTCCTTCTAATTTTCAGACTAAATTTATTCAAAAAGCCATTCGTTTTTGGCTTAAATAGCTCTTCTTCCCTGGTGTTTAATCCTGATATATTTGTAGACAGACATCATATTCCCTCTCAGCCTTCCTTTTGCTAGACTAAATACAGATTTTTTAGTCTCTTCTTGATCAACAGATCTTCAGTCCACTCTTCATTCTACTAGGCTTTATTACTACCCATCCCAGTCTGAACTCATCTGTCTGAATGTGATTTCAAATTCTCATAATAATCCAATTACTACATTGTACAGTAGATCAATATTTCCATATCTCCATGAAATATTACAGTCTTGGGTGTGTAGTTGCCTTTTTGTGCAAGTACATTAGGTAACCACCTACTGATACCTATGTTCTTTTCTACCACTCAGTTACTGGGAAAGTTTTCCATTGATAGCAAAATTTTTGCTACCCTCCAAGTGCATGACCTTGCATTTTGTGTTATAGCAGTTTGTTTTGTTTCCATTAGTTCAGTCATCAAGGTAATTTATTGTTTTTCCAT